TTATTTTCCTTTTGAGAAAATTTGATTGGTAAGTTACTCTTAATATGTGTGAGACTGTTTTTTCTAACTACACATTTGTAATCTATCAGTAGAGACATGGATGTAAGAGGATACTTATACCTTGAGTCTAGGTGTTTTGGGTCTGAATTTCCTAGCAGCTCAGGGACTCTCTGGTCTAACGTTAGGGACCTTAGTCTAAGATGCCTGGTGACCTTTGTTTGCCTCAGTCACCAAGAGAAGGATTTTCTTATTGTCTGTCTGCAATTCTTGACTTGATTTCAGTGAACTGATCAATGTAAAATTTTAAGTTACCGACAAATATACAATTCTGATTACAGGGTGATATTTTGCAACATAATGTAGGAATGAATGATGAAGCAACTTAGTGTTCACATGTCCATTCTGGGTTATTTGCTTCTGTCACATGTCCAGATTTACTCATATAATGCTTTTCTGGAAACTAATTTATTAGCATATTATACTACCTTTTAAATTATTACAATTATTATAGTTTTATTTATTTTCTTTATTTATATATCATTTCTTCTTGGTGGTGCTGTTATTTTTTTTGGACGGCATCTCAGTATGTAGCCTAGGCTGGCCTTTAACTCACTGTGAGGTTGGCCTTGACCTAATGGGAATCCCTCTGCCTCAGCCTCCAAGCACTGGTTTTATAGGCATGTACCACCAGGCCCAATATATATATATATATCTTTATAAAATTATATTGCCTCATTGTAATAAGTTAAGTAAATTTTTCCTGTGATAGGAAATAGTCTTTTTATTTTAGAGGAAAATTCTCAAATTCCCAATTAAATGGGATTTGTGTGAAATTTTTAAAATCTCTACTATCAGATATAGAATGTCACCTTTTATAACAAATATTGTTTTATTGCAAATGAAAGGTGATATTTTATCTGTTTTTAAAATGTAATATAATTTTATATATTTTTCCTTTTTAATTTTATTAATGCCCAAAGTATATTATAATATCATAATGTTAAAACAACCGTTCATTTACGTAATGAGATCAACTGATCCAAACTCCATTGAAACTTTAAATTATGCTATTGAATTGTCAATTTATGTGGAGTTACAGCTGCACAATTTTTAGAATCTGTGTTATTCTCCCTTTTGACAATTATCTAGATTCTTTATCTTAGATTTGATACATATATCTATATATATATACATATGTGACACACTGAAATGTATATATTGTACATTAAACAAAGTATGCTAGCTTTCCATTACTGTCACAAAATACATAAGAAAGCCAACTTAAAGAAGGAAATGTTTGTTGTGACTTTCAATTAATGATTATTGGTGCCTTTGCTCTGGCTCCGCGATGAAGCAGAACTTTCCAGTGGAAAGGGTGTGATGAAACATAGTAGCTCATTGCCTTATAGACAAGAATCAAGGAAACATATACTCTTCAAATGTTCACTCAGAAAGTCTGACTTCCTCCAGTTATGTTGCACCTCCTAGAGATTCTGTGACCTTCCCAAAACACCATCAGCTGGGGCCAACATTCCAATACATGAGCTTTTAGCAGATATTTAACACCCCAGCCATACCATGGAGATTGGGCAATATGGGTATACAGTTATAATGTATGGATATCGTTTTTCATTGATGATGTATGTTCTATTCCAGCAAATGTCTTATAAATATCTTATAATTCAAACTATTTTCTTCTGATTTAAAATTTCACAGTAGATTTTTCTATAAAAATAAAATGTTTTAAACATTTCCATAAGTCGGCAGAAATGGGCCAGTTCTCTCCTGGATAGTTCCCATAGTATTTTAAAGAATAACCACATTTTGTAACAATGACTGAAATATAGTTAGGGAATCCAATGATGAAGACATGAGAACTACATTACTTATGAACATTTTGAGAGTCATTCTAGCACAATACTATGATCCTATCACAAAAAGAAGTAATTACAGAAGCTGAGAAATTCTGCTGTACTTGAGGAGCATTGTGATAATATTTACTATGTCTAAATCATTATGGGTGTTTGATATTACTGATAAATGAAAATGGATTACATATATTCTTATAAAATTTAAGTTGGGGTTGGGGTTTTTGTTGCCCCCTTTTATTCCCGGCCTTTGGGGGGTTGGGGCCGGGGGTTCTTTTTGGTTTCGGGGCCGGCTTGGGTTCCAAGTTGGGTTCAGGGCCGGCCCAACTTGCCCGTTGGGCCCTTTTTTCAAAAGGCCAAAAAATAAATAAATAAAAATTAATGTAGAAATTATGTGTCAATCTTCAAGTGACTTAAACTATATATAACTGTATATGAGAAAGGAAAGTCTATGAAACAATTGATAATTTCCAATGAAAGACATATTATTTATCTCATAATAATTTTGTCAATTTTGGGCCGGCTGCCAGTTATAAGTGAACACATGTATTGATTCTCTTGCAGTCTTCATGCAAAACAGAAATATTCACATCTTATCAAGTGTTCTGTTTCTGGATTGCTTTGATGATTATTCATTATTGTTGTCCTTTTTATTGCACTAAAATCTTTATTGGAGGTTTCTCCAGAATTTACATTATTGATAAGGAAAACAACTAGGATTTCATATTATATTTGGCTTTTATTTTGTGAAAAATTTTAAATATTTGATAGCATTTACAGTTGTTTAGTCTATGAATTTGAATGAAAATAAAAATTGAGCAGGAAAAAAGTATAAATCATCTAAAACTATGACAAAGGTAATAGAATAATAGCATAATATTAAAATTGAACATTGTTAAAATTCTCAATTTTTCAGGCAATATTTTCAAACCATAAGTAGGAATTAAGGGAAACCTATATTTAGTATTTTTTGGAAATAATGCTGCATATTTTTGCTGCAAAAATCTTATATGAAGAGTGAATCACTGTGTAGCCACTAGTAGTTCTGACCAAGCTCTAATCATGATTGAAACAATGTAGATTCACTTCCCTTCTGGAGATTTGGTATTTTAAAAATATCATAGTTCTCAGGCACTGATAAATATTACTCTAGAAATCTAAGTTAACAAGAGAAGTAGTCAGTCTCATTGTATAATATATCACAATTTATATACCTTAAATTTCTAAGAGTTTGACTTTTAAAAAAGGTCCACACACTCAGATATTATTTTATGATACATGAACAGCCTGTAGTAGAGCTCAAGAGAACAGTAGCTTAAGGCACTGAAGAGGTAAGTTTTGTTTAGAAGTAAATGAAGCATCACATTAAAATGTACTGTTAAAAAATTGAAATGGGAAAAATAATCTAACTCCCTAACTCAATTTCTGTGAACAAAGTGCCGGGTGATTTGTAGGAGTGATTGCATTTCTTTTTCATCCTGGTTATTATTTGTATAGTTCTAGGTTAAGAATCCTAAAATCAAAGGTTTCTTTTAGTCAGTGCTTTGCAATACCATGATTTCGATGATAGTTCCTGAAGCTAAAGCTAGCTTAGATGTGGGCATCAAAATGCAAAACTCTTATGGAAAAAAACAAGGCAGAGATATAATGTGGAAATGGGAAGACAATGGTTGTGCGCACTGGAGTATAGTTAAAGGAACAAAATTTAAAGAGGAAGGGAAAGAGGACACGCATGCAGGGAGGAGGAAGAAAAGGGAAATGGATTAATACAAGGAGTTCAGATGTATTGTGTACATGTATCAGTTCCCCACAAGGAATGTAAAAGTTATGAACTACATACATGAACTAACAAAAAATTTAAAAAAGGACAAATTTTGTCCAAATGAATTCCAACTGATTGAATTAATTGTCCTTGTAAACCATTTTATTTGAATAAATTTTCATTCTTAGTGCATCAATATATTATGAAAGCACATAAAATTAATTTGTCTATATGTCAAATATTTGGGATAATTAGGTATTTGAAAGGGCAGTTAAAGATATTTTTATGTGTTTTATTCTTATTGTTTGAGTCCATTGAATACATTATGTATTAAAATTATATTAAATGATGTAACATACTGTATGATATTAAAATATTGTCACAATTTAATATTAGATGTGATTAATGAGCATGATAGTAAACAAATATACACTTTCAAAGTTTAGAGTGAAAGTTTTAAAGAGTAAATGAAGTACAGAAGAGATTCCTTATCACAGCGTCTTGGTTTATAAGGCTAGATTATGACTGGAAAATTTATGATGTTAGTTGTGAAGAAAAATACAGAGGCCATTTGATTCTTCTCCATTTATACAACTTTTAAATGGTACTGTTTTTCAACAAATGTGAGTTTCCAAGGAAGTTGGTAATTATGGACTTCAGAGTTATGGAAATGTAATTTAATATCTCAGCATTTTCAATACTATGTTGCAATGCTGAACATTTACATTAAATATAGTTATAATTGTTCCAGTTGGTTTTATTGTTTATAGGCAGTGAAATCTGCAACTAAAAGCAAGTTGTAAATTTTAATGGCAATATTTAATTTATTGACATCTGCTAGATTTGCCTTCTTTTGTTAATCTTCAAAGGAAGTACATTTATAGGAAATGAATTAAGTAGAGCTAAATATTATGCTTATACTCAATAGGATCCTCTTTCAAGTTCACTTCAACTGTTTTCACAAATACCATTCAATATTCTGCCATGTATTTAAGATACAGGCCAACTATTAAGTTTTATAAGAAAGCATTTCCAAGTTCTTTTGTTATTCTTCTACTAATAGTACCTCTCAGAATGAGATACTATAATAAAATAAATTATACTTTAGAAAGCATTGTTTAGTAAGTACCTTTTATTATGCTATGAATCTACAAGCTTAGAATTCTAATTGTGTATGGAAGTCTGTTTTTGTACAGTTGTAATCTTTTGTTCATAAAATAATTACTCTTGTAATTTAGGTGCAGGAAGTAGAGTGAGATTTTGTTTTACATCATCATCTTACTGACTAAATAAACAGTGCTTTACAGAATTGAATTCATTATTGGAGCAGGCAAAAGCCTTAATTTCCTGTTAATATACTCTCTCTACAGGAACATTTGTCACCCAGGTGACAGCAAGCGATGCAGATGACCCAGCTACTGGCAATAATGCTCGCCTCCTCTACAGCTTGCTACAAGGCCAAGCATATTTTTCTGTTGAACCAACAACAGGTATTTGTGAGTAAGACAAAGTGCAGTTCAACCTCATTTTAAAGCAGGGAATGTCAGCAAAAATTATCCCCTTAGAAACGTGTTTCACATCAGACCCAAATATTAGATAAATGAACGGGCATTTGTTCTTACACATTGAATTATCCTTAGAATTTAAGCTTTTTTGTCTAAGATTAAAAGATTGGATTTTCCATTGTCACTTTATGCAATTTATGTATAAAATATTTGTGTTATAAAACATATCAAAGATTCTTGTAAATCAGTCGGAAAAGAGACTGGGAGCCCAGCTGAAAAATATGAAGAAATGACAGTTACAAATAATTGTAGAAAACGGTACACGAAAGAACTCTCCACATTAGTCAACAGCGACATACAAATTAACATTGAGGTGAGATACGTGTTCATACTGAACCAGATAAATGAGATTAAGTATGAAGGTTAAGTCAGATGTTTGAGTTGGTAAGAGTCATTCACTTAAAGGTCTGTATTTTATAAATTTTAATTGATATGAATATTATACTTGATTATGTCAGTGCTTCTCCAACTCATTTTAATCAGTCAAATGCCTAATAAAGTAATTATAACACATCATTTATCTCTCTATCAAACATATGTATTGAATACATAGAAATATATATAACAGTACTTTATTGAACAAACACAGTTCATTGTATACAAAATCAAGATTAAACTTATATGATACATGTGCTGAGGAGCTGATGGTATTTAAGGATGAAAGAATATCTTAACTAATTACTAAAAGTGTAAGAAATACAGGAAGTAAACTTTTTATGGTAGTTAGTAGGAGGAAGTATTATTTCCAATTCATGACATAGCAGGTTTAAATAACTAAACCATTTTGTTGAATGTTCAAATATTTCTTATATATTTATTTATTCAGCAAATATTAAAACTCTTAGCCTTTCTCAATTAAGAGTTCTTGAGTCATATTCTAATGAATGTGATGCATCCCTATGTCCAAAACATTTCCAATTATGATACACGTATTTTATAATTTGTAATGCACAGGAAAGACATTAGTTTATTATGTGTGGTGAATGTTTTAAAATACTAAGGTTTAGCTGGGCATGGGGCCTACACCTGTAATCCCAGAACTCAGGAAGATCATGGCATGTTCAAGTTCAGCTTAGGCTACAGTGTGAATTCAAGGTCAGCCTAGACTACATAGCAAGACCTTTTGTCAAACAAACAAACAAAAGATTAGAGATATTTTATGTTTAAAATAGTAAGGTTTAGCCAGGAAAGGTGGGTCATGCCTGTAATTTTAGCAATATGGGGAGCTGAGGCAGAAGGATGGGAAACTGGAGCTCAACCTGAGCAAATTAATGACTTAGTAGCTTAGTGTGGGTGTCCTGGGTTCAATTCATAGCAACGGGGAAAACCAAACCCAAATACATTAGACTCTAATTTTTTCAGACAGTCTTGTTTGAGAAAGGCTACATGCTAGGCATTAAAAAATATACTGGATATTTACAGTTTTAATATTGCAACTTTTAAAATAATAATAGCTAAAACAACAAACCAAAACATAAAATTTTCCCTCTTGGAACTTATAGATAGTAACCATATGCATGCTGGTAAATGCAAACATTTAACGTGTAATTTTAAAGTGGAACAGTAAAGACACAGTTAGAGAGTGAGTACAATTCAGGGTTGTGTGGTCAAAGCAGAGCACAGCAAAATGAGAATGCTGTACTGAAACTACACCCAAGGAGAAGAGAAAGTGGAAGGTTATTCCAGGTTCTGGGGGGAAATGTAACTGGAAGTCCGAAGATAGGAAGGAGGTGAAAACATTGGACTAATTGGACGGCAGTTTTATATGCTATTTGAGGAAGGGCCTACCAGCATTCTTTGCATTGTGCTGAGAAGTCTGGACACTGGGTAGAGTTGATGTTGAATGTATTATTGTTATTGTTCTCCAGGGGGGTGACTTTCAGGGTATAGTGGCTCAACGTACAGGGAAAGAATGATTGCATGGTGGAATTATTAAGAGATTAATTAGGAAGTTGTTATGCTTAATAATAAAACAATAATTAGAATTTTGTTGCATTTTAAAGGAATCATAAGAATTTCTTCTAAAATGGACAGAGAGCTACAGGATGAGTACTGGATAATTATTCAAGCCAAGGATATGATTGGGCAGCATGGAGCACTGTCTGGAACAGCAAGTGTATTAATTAAACTTTCAGATATTAATGACAATAAGCCTATATTTAAAGACAGTAAGTAGAAAACATTGTGTTTGTTTTGTTTTGTTTTGTTTTGTTTTTTCTTCCGGTACCGGGAAACGAACTCACGACCTCGCGCTTGCTAGGCAGACAATGTGCCGCTGAGCTAAATCCCCAGCCCCAGTAGAAAACACTGTGAATTTTCATTGTAATGTACATATAAGTATACTAAATACAGACAGATGTTAAGAGTTCACATTCTAAAACCACTGTGCCCATGTAAGTTTTGCATAAATTAAATCTTAAAACTATTCCAAGATACAATTAAAACCTTGAAAGCCAAATACAAATAAGTGATATTACATAGTGTTCTATTGATGTTCTAACAAGCTGCCACACATTCCATGACTTATAACTAATTGAATTAAGAGAGTTTAGTGTGGTTCTATCCAGACTATGACCAAGGTATCTGCAAGAGTTGTGTTATTTTCAGAAACTCTGGAGTAGGAAAGAAAGCAGCTGATAGAAATAATAGATATGCATAAATGTGTACATATGTTTATGTGTTTATATACATATATATTCCACCATACCATGATTTTCTAGGTGTTGGTCATTGATTTATAGGAATAAAGCTGTCTTTTAATTACTTCTTGTTTTCCTTCTTTCTCCATTTCCCTACACATTCCTCAAAGTCAAGTTAAATCATGGGTATTTGATGGCTGAAGTGAAGTGCTTTTTTCACTGATATCCTTCTTGTGTAACAGTTGATGTATAATCAAAGGAAGCTGGCACCATGCAAATTTATTTTCACTTTCAGGATTTGCCATTAATTAGTTGTGTACACTTAAGAAAGGCTGGTAGTGTATAGACATATCCACAAACAGAGCATCTAAATAATATAGACACTCTTCTGCTCAGATTGGTCAATTCTTTCCATGCTAGGATTGTCTAATCTCCGGTTACTCAAGAAAAACACTTATGTACCATATAATGATGTTTTTGTCAATGATGAACAGAGAACCTTTCAATGAATAAGGACCTGAAAATTCCTATCCCTTATTATTTTTAGTGTATCTTTCTATGTTTAGGTACACGAATACCACTGTGTTACAATTGCTTATTTGGTTCAACACAGTAAAGTGCTGTACATGTTTGTAGCTTGGGACTTCCCCATAGAGCTTAGGTATGTAGCTGGTATACAATCTGGGTTTGTAAGGATACTCTATCATGTTTGCACAGCATCAAAGACATCGCAGGAACACATTTCTCAAAACATAGCTCCATTGGTAAGCAACACATGACAGTATTACAAATCCAGAATTGTGTTTCTGCTCTATCACTCCATTTAAAAAATATTAGTATAAAAGTTTGACACTGATATATGCCAAAGCTCGCTTGTCTTTGTGATACAGGCAAAGGGCAGTAGCTTGTAACTTCATCTACAGGTGCTGAAATGTGTGAGGAATATTTCTGTCTCTGCACCATGAATCTGACTTCCTAAAGAATATGACTTATAAATGAGAAAAATGCCTAATTAAAGCTGAAATAGAAGGACATCATAAAATACAGGAATAGGACATATAGAAAAGATAGCAGCTGGATATAGTGAGCAAGTCTAGTCCAAGTTCAAGAAGATGAGGTGCGGAGCATGTAGAAGGCTCTGGAAGTTGAAATTCACAAGGAAACTTAGACACCAAGCTATCTCTGAAGGTTCTGCTACTGTTATTCATTTGTTTTTGACATTTTACAAATTATACTTTCACAAGTATTATCACAAAATTAGAATATTTAAAATACATTTAAAAATTCTCTGATTTACTCAGAGTCCACATGTAAAATTGTCTGAAAGATTTGAGCATAGCTGAGCCTGACACCTGCTCCTTTACTCATATTTACATCAGTTTTCTCTGCTGAAATCCTGTTGTCCTCTCAGTCGAAATGTTCTTTATGTACACCCACAGCTGTGGGCCACGTCCTTGCCCCTTAGTCTGGGACATTACTCAAACATGCCTCTCCTTTATTTTGACAATTTCTTCCTAGCTGGATCATTGCTAGGAGCACCCAAATGTGTGTGACTATTTTCCTCTCATCTTTAAAGCAAATGCAAACAGAAATACTTCATTGATATCTCTTCCGTATTTAGCTAATAACACTTGTTCTTTTCCCTGTGTTCTTTCTCTTAGAGAAAATTTAGGAGTTATGTGAACACTTTCTTCTATTACTTTCCCTAAACTGGAAGTCAGTCCATTTTGGTTTCATCCAAACCATCTGACCAGGCAGATTTTATTCATATCAGTAATGCAAACTAACCAAAATTAATGTCAATTTTTTGTTACCATGTAGTTTAGTTTCTGGACTTAATTTGACAGAATTGAGCACTCCTCCCATGAAACACTCTCACTCTCTTGTTAGATTTTTCTTCTAGTTTAGCTGGTCATTTTTCTATTTGCTAGTTCTAATTCATCTCTATATATTTTAAACTTTAGAATATAAATGGGACAAAGCAGACCTTATTGTTCTGCTTATTACACTTACTCCTTGATGTTATCCACCCATATGGCTACAATAATTATCTCTCTGCTGAAAACTTCCAAATTTATAACTCTGTTCTGAGGTACGTCATGAACTCCACCCATATACATCTAACTGTCTACACATCACCTTTCTTATTATATCAAGCAAAGTTAAAATTTATTACTTTAGAATTTTATTGATCTCCTGATCTTATTTTCCTTCTCCAAACCACTTCTTCCTATAGATTTCCCCATGTAAATCACTAACAAATCCAGGTTTCATTCTTTCAAACTGACATTTTGATTATTTAATATGAGCACACTGTATGAGAAGATTTTACAATATATTTCATATTACAGCAGCCGTATCTAGGTTAATTCTAACTACTCATACAGTCTGAATTGGTGTTCGATTCTAGACAGTTTCTGATTTTCTATATTCTGAGGGAAAACACACACACACATGCACACACACACACACACTCCATATAAGAGTAGAAAATAATTTTATTAGAGCCCCAAAAGTTATATTTTGCTTTCCTTTTCTCTTTCTCAACTAAGCATTAAATCCTCTGAAGATCTTCTTGGCTCTGCATTAAAAAACATCTGAACACTTCTCACCACAGCACTTCCATTTCTGCCTACTTGGAACACACCACCACTTGAATTTGTTTCTAACTGTGCAACATGCAGTCATCTAGTCTCTCTGCTTACGCCATTACTCTCATTTATTTCCGTACACCTTTACTGATCCTGTTAAAATGCAAAAGACATTATTATATCCATGTCTTCCTGTCTCACTCAAGAAAAAGTGAAAATTTTCAGGGAAAATTAATTGCTGCTAACCTTGTCACATGATCTGTCATCCTTCAGTTCTGGTTATGACCTCTTGAACTGTATCTACATTGTCTAGTTTTTGCACCCTGAAAAGCCAGTACCAGGCAACTGCACCCCCCACTATGTTTTCAGATCAATCTGATTAGTCTTTTCTTTTTCCTGAAATTTTATTTCTTGCAATGTTCATTCCTTTGCTCCAGCTCCAATTTAACAATTCAATTGCACAATGAGGAATTTTTACATCATAAAAAATTTAAAGCCACCAAAGCACAATGTTGTCCTAGTACATATCAGTATCTTATTTATTGTATGATTTATTTTAAGAATGTAGCCTGAGGTAGGTATCTGGGTAAACACCATTTCTTGTTACTGTGAGAGCCACAGGAAGAGAATCTTGTGAAGAAATTATGCTTTTTAATACATATATGTTATATATATATGTATATACATATATATATAGAGAGAGAGAGAGACAGAGAGACAGACAGAGAGACAGGTTTTTGGTTTTGTTTTGTTGTTCTTTGGTTTTTTGAAATGAGTCTCTCTTATGTAGCTCACAGGCTGGCCTTAAACTCCCTATGTGGTTGTCTTAGTTACTTTTCTCTCATTGCTGAGACATAAGAAACCCAACACTCAATATTAGTTATTTAGCTCACAGTTTGTGGAAGTTTTAATATGTAATTCACTGGCTCCAAGGCAGCCTGGTATTGAAGAGGGGCAACCGACAGGGAAAACAGCAAGAATAGAACTGGGAAGAGGAAGCCTCTTTCCTCCATTATGTTGCCTACAGGGTACCCACCCTCGTATGGGTTTAGCATTCACACCCCCAATCTCAGCACTAGAAAATAAACCGGTCACAAACTATAGATTTAGCTGCCTCTGAAAAACCCACCCCCTCCATGACCACATGGGGCTTTGGAAGGACATCTAGACACAAATTGTAAGTGGTCCTGGGTGACCTCAAATTCATGGCAATCTTCCTGCCTCAGCCTCCCAAATGCTGCAATTATAGGCGTGAACCACCTTGCCTAGCTTCTTAAAAATACATTTAAAAAATAATTTGTTCAACACTGAGGGACTCAGGCCTGGGACAAGGGCATGAGGGGCCTGGCCCCTCCGCAGGCAGCAGCCGTTCCTAGGTGAGTGCTAAGGAGCTACATTTGGGTTAAGGGAGCCTGGGCCCAGGGCCGCCAGGAGCGGGAGGGGCACTCAGTGGCCTTGGCAGTGGCTTGGAACAGCTCTTGGAACCCCTTCCTGCAGAGGGCAGGACAGATGGTTTGAAATAATACAGTGTAGAAAGGAAAAACTGTGTTGAAGTGATTTCTGAGTACATGAAAATATGTACTCCACAAATTATCACTAAGTGATGTTTGAAGGAACTATTTGGTTGTTTCTAATTTTGAACACTGGCACCTTAGTATAAACTCAATAAAATTGAAATATAAGACAACTAATTTCAAGTCTGTGCAAGTGCTGTTTTTTCTTCAATTATTGGCTATTTTTAATTTATAAAAACAACCAAGAATTATTTTTGTTTTTTTTAAAATGAAAAATAGTTACTACACAAATTGTCATTTTCACTCTCAAAAACTGCTCAGAAAACTGTTAGCAGGAATAATATTGCTCCAATTTTTAAAAACAGTGAACTCTAAAAATGTAATTTGTACAAGTTGCATGCTTCTAAAGGAAGCAATGACTTCTTTAAATAATTTTATTGTACACGTCTCTTTTAATTCTAGAAAGTATTATTTTTAGAATATTGCCATTCATCATTATTTCTTATTTTTTAACATAAATAACAAGTAATAAATAATTCAGCAATGATGGAGTTCTTTATTTGTTTTACGTATGCTACTTCTGGAAAAGTAGCTCGGGAGGTCGCTATATCCATGCATTTTTGGTATGTTTACTGTTGAGATTGGGCCAGCAAACTCTGACAGAGAGAAGAATGAAGATGTGAGAGACAGAGGACGTCTTTGTCGGCAGCCGGGGGACTTCCCTGGGATAGCATGAAGCCCTGAACTGACTGAGATCCCCGGGTTTATGGAGGAACAGCAAAGGGGTGGAGTTCTGCTGAGTGCAGATGTTTGTTTTAGACAGCAAAGCAGGCAAGCAAGGCAGGATGACTGTTGGGATAAAATATCCAATTATACCTGCTTGCCCTTTGAAAGCATCCTCATTCTCCCTGTGAGGTCTGTCTCTGCACGAACTGGCAAAACATCTTGTCTTCAAGACGTTCCAAGTCTTCAAAATTAGCTGTGTTCTGGCTCCCGAATCCACCCGAGCAGACATTGATCTTTGGGTATCTCAAGGGACTCCACAAATTATCATTATTCTCTCATTACTAAAGCATTTGTGGCACTTTAACTGCAACACTTTTTATCCCCTACACCCACATAGTAACAGTTTTTCGTTATTTTTTCTTTACATTTCCACTATGGGTAACATAGTTCAAGCACACAACCTCAGATACTTAAATTTAAAACTCAACTATTTGTCTTTAGTTATTCACAATTTTAATCTACATGTAAATTCATCATCAGGTTCAGATATCAGGGAATATTCAAGTAAATGGAAAAACTCTTAATCAGCATCACAATGGATGGTAGAAATATAATGCACAATGACTATAAATCACGAATGTTTAAGCAAATGTGTGTATGAATGGGAATGTGGAGTTATATGTTCCGTTTAGAAAATTACTTAAGATATTTTTAAAATCAAAGATACTCAGGAAATTAAGAAATGTTTCTTGTTTTAAAAATGAAAATGTGTACAGGTAATGAAATACACTGTAAGAGATATATTGAAATTTAGACCAAGAAACTAAAAGGGTTTTCTTACAGATCAGAAAAAATGAATGCTCTAATTGGAAATTTCACATATTAATGCTTTTATGCAAAATATCTTAATTTTTTTTTTTCTCTAAAGGTTTTTATCGCCTGACTGTCTCTGAATCTGCACCCATTGGGACAACTATAGGAATAATTACAGCATTTGATAATGACATAGGAGTAAATGCAGAAATGGATTATCTAATTGAAGATGATGGTTCTCAAACTTTTCACATCATTACCAATAATGAAACCCAAGAAGGAATAGTTATATTAAAAGAGGTAAATAAATTAACGGTATTTGCTTTGCAGAATAGTGCAAAATCAAACTGGAAATATGTATAATTATTTTGTGTACTTGGTTAGTTTTTTGCTCCATTAAGTAATTGAAATGAAAATTTATGATTTATGGTTTAAGGAGAAAATAAGTTTAGAGATAAAATATTTTTTAACAGAGTTTTTTGAGTGGAATGAAGGCATGTTAAAGCAAAGGATTTTCAAATAAAGGACATTTTCTTAAAAAGATCATGAGCACCAGACAATTAATTCTCAATTGCAGAAGATATTTATAGTCATAAAAATATAATTTTAAACCTAAATGAAAACAGAGTGATCTTTTGCAAGGGAGAAGGGGATGAGATATTAGGATGGGGTGGGGGGCAAAAAAGGTAATGTACAAAGAATTAAAATGTGTCATGTACATGGACCAGCTTTTCACAAAGAATGTATTCACTAATGAATGTATTCATTATGGTGCAAACATAAACTGATAAAAATGAAAATATGGTTATTTCATGCCACTTGATGAATAGAGGTTGTGAGAAATTGCAAACAATGTTTCATGCCAGATTAATGATAATATCAAAGGAATATGTGTACACAGAGTGCAAAATCAAACTAAAAAATAAATGACAAACAAGGAAAGCTTTTTACCCTATTGTAGCATTTTGGGTTTCTAAGGTTATTTGTTCTGTGCATACTGCTTTCTTTGTAGGAAGTGGATTTTGAGCAGCAGAACCATTATGGCTTTAGAGCCAAAGTTAGAAACCGCCATGTGGAGGAGGAGCTCACGAACTACCATATGGAAGCTTCCACCACTTACATTAGGGTCCAAGTGGAAGACGTTGATGAACCTCCTGTTTTTCTCCTCCCATATTATGTATTTGAAATTTTTGAAGGAAACCCACTTGGATCATTCATAGGCATAGTGTCTGCCATAGACCCAGATCAAAGGAAATCACCTATCAGGTAAGTCTTTCTCTATAAAGACTGATCTCTGCATTAGTAAATGAATAAGCATCAATCTGTGTGGAAATAAAGCTTCAAGCAAATGTAAACAAGGGCATGTCTCATCTATATTTATTTGCATGAGATTTAATATGTTTGCAAAAATTTAAACAAAGACATTAAAATAGAGTCATTGTTGGTTGAAATGTATTGAAATAGGTAATTGTAAGCACATGCCAGAAATAAGTAATCACCAATTTAAAGAAAATAGTATTGACTTTCCCTAATTAGCACAGCAACTGACAATTTAGGTCAGAATAAAATCAATACTGGTCAAGATGTGGCTTATTTAATTACTTTTTAATTGAAATGTTGGTCAAAAATTGAAATTTTGTTAGAGTGAAGGGTAGTAAAAATGATGTAAGTATAATGACTTAAAAATAAGTGTATTACAATAAAAAACTGCTACCCATTAGCATAGTCTTTTTTTAGTTATTAGGTTGTAAACTTTTTTCAAAATGTGAGTTGTATTCTTCTTGGAGGCAAAACCAATTTTTAATGTATTTATTATCAAACCTTTTCATATTCACCTATTCTGTTTTACAAGCCACAATCAAGAGAATTGTAAAAATTTGCAGGTATTGACTGAAATCTGACCATGCTTTGCTCTCTGGAGACTCTGCTGGCACACTGAGGGTGTGTTATTCATACCTGATGTGAGGGATGTTTCTACCATTCATTCGTAATCTCTATTCATAAGAGGCTGCCTTTCAGCATATAGATAGATCTTATTTGGTTGTAGTGGTTTTAGTAATTGTGTGTGTTTCAGTATAACCCCTTAAAATATTGTGTAGTTGCTGTGTATTTAAATAAATGAAGCCACTGTAGTATTAATTGTTCTTTTGAGGATGCAAAGTAATATAGAATTTAAAAATAGCTGATGATTAAGGTTTTCAATATGTTATCATTTATAATAATAAAGTTGTAGAAGCTAATCTTAGGAATGTGACTAAGGGAAATTTATGAATGATGTGTAATGATAATTATAAAGCATAAATTAAAAACATGGCGTACATTTCATTACATAGAATTAAGTGTTGTGTATCTGCTATATGTAAAAATACTATTCATAAATGAGAAAAAGAAGCAGGATAGAGACACCTAGTACAAGATTATGTGTTTTATGATGTCATCCTTGAGGGGTGCTTAGCTTTTTTCAACTAAAATATTTTAATGATTATACTGAAAATAATTATTTTCAAATAATTTATGAGTACTTATCAGATGAATGGTTTGCAATAATAAATTTTCCTTTATTTGGAATTACCTTTTAAATATGATCATTTCACACATATGTTGAGATCACTGAGGACAGAGGAGATTCTGCTGGTGGTTTTCTCCTCCATATGGTATGGCTTGTGTTAGTCACAATGCAAAACTTATCATGAGAGCACAACACATAACACATTACAGTAGTTCTCCCTCCCTCCCTTTCTCTTCCTCTGTCTCTCCAGGAAATACATGAACACAAACTATAAAATTATTTCAATTTCAGCTATAATTTGACAATGTCTTCTTTGATTCTCATTCCATAGTAACAGTTTGGATAACCAAAGGAAATATCAGAATATTACATTTTAGCCTTAGGGATGTTCTACTGTTTAGAGGAAAATAGAATAACACACAATTAATAAGGTTTTTCTTAACTCATTTATTTCAAAATATCCCATTTTACCTAGAAAGAATCACATTTTGGAAGTTTTTTTGAAGCATGGAAATTACTGGGTTGGTTTCAGTAAGCCTTGGACGGAATTAATAAACTAATAGAACAAAATATTCTTGTTATTTGGTAAGGTCAGAAAAACGTTAGAGTAAAATCTACCCTGAAATGAATAAATTTAAGCTACATAGTAAATATTTTGAAAACAGCAGTGCATATATAAAGGAATCATGCCTTATTTAGATGTGAAGGTGAGAAGATACAATTGTTGTAAGGGTCTCAGAGACCACAAGTAACAAATTTATTATCATGAAAGTGAAAAGGAATTTATAAGGCATATACCTTATAATTTTCAATTCATCCCTAATGTCATATATGGCTATATCTATGTTCCCAAATTTATATATTCAAATTTAAAACCCTTGTATAATAGCATTAGAAAATAGAGCCAATGGAAAGATTAATTCAGAAATGTAAACCCTCCAGGAATGGGATTAATACCCTTATGAAAGGAATCCTGCACAGTGTTCTCATCTATTCTGCCATTTATGGATAAATGGAGATGTTAGCGGTTTGCAATTGGATGGAACAAGGCCCTTCTTGACCAAACTCTTCTGACATCAACATCTGAGACTGCCAGCTTTCATGTATTTGAGAAATAAATTGTGTTTTTTTGAGAAATGCATGCTATAGTAATTTGTACTGGCAACTGAGCTAATACAATTATCAAACATTACAGACAACAAGCATAAGAAATATGATAATCATTTGTCATTATTGCTATAATTTATTATTTGTGCTTTTTTGAAGTTTCCTTTTCAACTAAGCCTGTACTTGAAGTGTGAAGTACTTTCTGTGTAAGAAAGATAGTGTATTCTATCATTCTAGTAGCCAAAAATACCAAGTTAACTAAAAGCAAGCAGAAAAAAAGTAACAGAGATCAAACCAGAAAGATGAAAGTAAAACAATAGCAAGTGATGTACAGAGCCAGTTCTTTCCAGAACACCATAAAAATAAAAAACATATTAATCTCTATGTAGATAAATTGAGAGAGAGAGAGAGAGAGAGAGAGAGAGAGAGAGAGAGAGAGAGATTGAGAGACCAAGGGGAAGAGAAAGACAGAGATAAACAGAGGGAAAAACATTAATTTTTTCAGAAATGAATAAAAAACTAATGATAATACTGATGTTAGGAAAAAATCACATAGATCAATTTCTTGAAAGTACAAAAATTTACATGAAAAGATAAATAGTTCATTAATCACATACATAGCGCTATACATACATATATACATACACATATAGATGCATACATATACTACATAAATATATAAGTACACATTTACACAGCATAACATTTTCCAAAAATGAAGAAAAACACCTTCTAGAACCCAATGATATTATTGTCAATATTTCCTCTAAAAATGGCCTGCCAGTTAAAAATATTCCAGGTCTTTCCTGCCTTGAACAAAGAATTGGACAAGATAAGCCGAAAATACTGCAAAATTTTATTTGAATAATGAGGGGTGAAGAGGTAAGTGAAGATTAGCTCTGTAGAGCAAACATGGGCCAAACAAAACAAAAGATAAAAGCAAAAACAAAAGTGTGCTTTGCATCCAGAAGACATGGAGTAGGCTGCCTTGTGGAGTCACAGCGGGCTGCTTGTGGAATCTGGTCTATTTTATGCCACCCACATCTTACAGGAGCCAATGAGAAATTCTACATAGAGTGCTGAGAATTATCTGGGGCTGTGATGGGCTTTTCTAATTTACAGGTCCCACCCAATCCTCCTGATAATTATGTCACACCCTACTTCCTTTATCAATGTCACTGATAAATTCCACCAATTATTACAAGCAAACTGCTGACCAGTAAGTACCCCACATGAACAAGATGAAAACATTCTTGACAAGATAATAGAAACTCCAGCTATTTGTGGGAAAGGTGTTATGCCACTAACAATAAGGTCCATCATATGTAAGAAGTATTTTGTTATAACCTCCTATATTAACAGATTAAAAAGAAAAATAACATATGATCATTCTTATAGAGAAATATGTTTAAAATAAATTTATGATAAAAATTTTCAACACATTGCAAATAGAAGAAAAGAAAATATATCTACAGAAATTATAGATAATATTACATACTTACTGATGAAATACAACTGATTTTCTTATTAATTGAGAATAAGATAATGATGTATTCTTTTGCTATCCCAATACAACATAATACTAGAAGTTAGAGGCCATGCAATAAATAAGAGAAAGAATAAAATATACATTGGGAATGTACAGAATACTCAGTTGGTGTATACTCTGCTTTCTCTTCAGATCATATAAATCTTTCACCTTTTACTAAAGAATACTCAGTGAAATGGATGAAAAGCAAAAGCAAACTGACAAAAATCTGTGGTCTAGTTTACTACAATGTTATCAAAAAAGAAGGGGATGATAAAATTCCACAAAATTTTTTTCTTTATATCCACAAAACTCAATTATTTCACACTGATAATATCAAGATATAGAAGGATGACGTAATATTGAACAAGTTTATCAAAGTAGGCATAAGATTATTGTAAAATTTTACACTTACCAGAAGAACTAGACATCCTCCTCTGAGGCATTTCCAAAGAAAAATAAACATTTAATGTTGAGGGTTTAATTCTATCTCCAAAAGATGCATTGCACCCTAACACTTCGTACTTCAGAATGTAATCTTCCTGGAAGTTGGAGCTGTAGAGATTAATTTTTAAAATACGGTCGTAGTGGAGTAGGGTTGATCTTCAGTCTAATAAGCTTGATGTCCTTGTAAAGATGCCTAAACAAATAGGGAGAGGTCATCCACGTGACAATGGAAGCAGAAATCAAAGTGATCATGTAGAAACTCTGGAACAGCAAGAGTCACCAGAAAGTGCTAAAGATAGAAAAGGCAAGGGAGTGTTCTTCACTGTATATTTCAGAAGGGACAGAACCTCAGGATAAAATTCTTTCATTTTTAGCCCTGAATTGGTAGTGTTTTGTTACAGCGGATCTAGAATATGATTGACTTTACACTGACATGGAAATCTATATGCAGGAATTTCCAGCAACTTTATTCATCATTTCACTGATAGAATATCTGATGGGTGAATGAATTAAAAACTGAAAGCAAACTGAAAATACCGGTGGTCAGTTGACCACAAAGGTGTCATTAAAGAAAAGGATAATAATTTTTGTGTATTATAACTGAGATAATGGATATTTCAGCATTCAACTCTCCAATTTCTATGGATTCTTCATCACTGAGGGAGTATGTATGTAAATTTGGGGAAAACTAGGAATTTTTGACATATTCTTAAAGTGCCATACAAACTATTACAAATGTACTCTATTGTGTTCCAAATAAGTGTCCTAACCAAAATTACAGATTTGGAAAGAAACTTATAACCAGTGAATTGGGGAAACAATATTTTATTAGAAAATCTATAAATAAAAGTATCTGTATAAAATAATGTTCACTAAACATGAGTTAGATTTTTTGAAAACGTCTGTTGTTTAACAATCACAGTGCTATTTACTCTGCATGTTTACCTTAGTTGAACAAATAAGGAAGCACAGTGCAAATATGAGAGTAAGATTTGCTATTGCCAAAAATAGGATACAAAAAGCCAAGGGGGAAAAATGGTGAAGACCATGGTGTTGGATTTACAGTCTGAGAAATCATTATGTTCTAATGCATACTTAATAAAGTTTTATACATCAGTATCCATGAAGAATTCTTTCCAGGATTCCCATAGATACCAAAATCTCTGGATGCTCAAATTCCTTACCTAAAATGGTGTAGTGTTTGCATATAGCCACCTAAAATTTGAAATTATTTCTGTACAACTTATAATACTATATATAATATCCATACTACAAAGCTAGTTGCTATACTGCAGATTTGTAGAATAAAGAAGAAAGGTCTGTACATACTCAATATAAACACAACTTTCCCAAATGCTTTTGGTCCAGTGTTGGTTGAATCTACAGATATTAAGAACTAGCACCATAAACAGAGACAAAAATTTTTATGGAAATGAGTATAGGTTTGTGTTTTTTAGTTACCATAAATAAACCATGCATGAATATCCTCCTGATGTTTAATCAGGGGGCTTAAAATCAATGGAACTCCAGTAGCAGTGGGAACTCTTTGCACCCAGGGCTTCCCCTCTAATACTGTCACACACTCAAGAGTAGTAAACTCAATGGAGAATTGGTTGAATCCAGAGTTATTGTTGGAAAATACTGTGCCTCCGAGAAAGCCTACAGATTCGAAAGTAAGGAGAAGAATTTTCAAAAGAATGAAAGAAAACGGATGTGTTGAAAGGTCCAGCAACCATGGGGTAATTACTCCAACTGTCAAAAGCTGTGAATATTAAGCAACAAACAAGTAAAGTGTTTGGTTCATTACTCATGCAAAATATATTTCGTAGGTCAGTGCTTCTATACAAACATAAAGGAATATTTTTTATAGATTATAGTTTTTGTGATTATAACTGTAGAAAGATATTAATAATAGAAATCATCATTAGTATACTTAAGTGACAGTTATTGTAGTTATTGTTCATTAATGGATAACAAAATTAGTATGTGCATGTTTGAGAAGAAATCAGGTAATTTCAAAATATCTTCTTGAGAAGTTTTTTAATTACAAAAGAAAGATGGCAATTTTAGAGTGGTGAAATCTCACAGACGCTACCTTAATCAAGAGGCAAGGCTAATACCACAGTTAAAAACACAGTGTCAGTATCATGCACCTCTGCTACAGTATGCTTGTAAGGAAACCACACTTACCAAAACCGTACCAAGTATACAAATTGTAACTAATTTTATAAAAAATGTACAGTCTTCATCTAATCATAACAAAGAGCATGACATTTTCCTGAGAAACTGTCTTGAAGATACCAATAGGTAAAATAATAACCACTGATAATGTCTTACCACTTTGTAATTCAGTGAATCCCCTCATTGCTATGTTGTCCTTCTTTTACTCTTTAAAATTAAAAAAAAAGTGCATGACAGACATGAATTGAGAAACACTCAACAGCTTCCCAGTACTTTCACTTGCAGAAATGAAATGAAAGAAGAAAACCGAGAAACTGTAGAGCAGACTGAGGAAGCACAAAAACGAAATGAAAAGAGCATGCCTGGATTTGATCACGAGAAGGGCAAAGAGCAGTGTGGAAGAGATGCTGAAATCCAACTACACTTTCTAATCTAGTTGATAAAATTAAAACAATTAATTTGTTAGCTCTGAAACAAAGAGAACACTGTTGTTTTATACAGGATTTTGTCAGGGGATCGTATCCTTCACTCAAGTGTATTGATTTTGGAACAGTTACAAATGATTAAAATTATTTTGAAATATTTCTAATTGAGTTGGTGAGAAAAATACTAATGAAAAATGTGTTTGAGAAGATTCTTTATGTCTGTTTTCTAATTTTAAAAACATTAAGTGATGGGAAAATACAATTTACTACAATGTAAGTGAACTAACTATAACTTAAATCAAGGCCAAGAATATTTCAGCTAGTAAATGTGGACTGAGGGAAAATATTTGCATAACTAAAATGTTTGGTTCTAGAAGGAAATGAGGAAATAATGTATGTTGCATATCATTCCTGTTATCATGCAAAGTGCCTCTAGGTCTACATCTGTTTTGATTTCTGGTTTAATATCTTAGTAGGATCCAGACTTGTTGCTTTTGTTCTTCCTAATTCATAACTGATTTTTTTATTAAACTATGAGAAACTCCAACCTCTTTTCAAGCTGTGGTGGACTTCAGTTGGAATTGCATTTTAGAAAAACAAGATTGGATTTTTAATACAAAATAGTAACAGCTAAAATATTATTTAACCTTTTGCCAACAAAATTGTTCAGTGGGAAATGTGACCACCTATGGATATTTAAGTAAAATGCTTCTAATGTTTAAAAATTCAATATAGTTAAACCTGAACTACTCTAAAGTTTCGTACTGTTTTAATAGTCTGTTGAAAACCAAGCTACAACTTAGTATAATATTTTTAGGAACATGTCAATTTGATATTAAAATATTCTCATTTTGCCACATAATTATAGAAAATCTCATTGATGTCTCATCACAGTCTTCAGGAGTATATTTGAAAGAAGCTATCACTGAAGCCTACTTATTACACTTCTTTAATTTTTATTATTAATCATTTTCAAGCTGATGAAACATGCTGAGCACTTCAAAGGCTTCTTTTATTGAGGATTTTCAGACTTTTACATGAGAGAATTTTGTGAGCTGATTTTGTTCCATGCTTGGTGCATTACACATATAAAGTCAATATGCACACACAAAAGTAAAAGGTAGTGAATCTAAAGTACTTCTGCCATCTGAAATTATATGTACTTTGTGGATATATTATTGACACAAATCAATCTGTTACATAAATGTTACTTCTGTCATATACTACCTAATTACTACCTAATTATACAAAAAATTCAACATATTTTATTTGTCAAGAGTCACGTAATTATGAGGTAATGCACAGCAAGTACATTGTATAGGTAAAAGACCAGTAGCAAGTTAGGTTGAGAATATGCTTCCTTTGTTTCAAGGGAAAATAAAAAAAAGTTTGACAGTCACTCATTTTTATCATTACTAGTGTGTACTTTACTTTGCAAAAGACTTTCAGCCATTTCTTTTTAGAAGTCATTCACTCATTAACTTTCTTTCATGGACATGGGACTGAGTCATAAGTATGCGTTTAGATTCAGCATAAGTCAATTGAAATCTAAAGCCATTTTAGTTTTTTTTTTCAATCTGCTAAGTTGGACAAATGCAATATTTTTATAATTGTTCTGTGTTACATGGTCTACACAGAACATGCATTTAACAATTTGTTGTATTACTTAAAAAGAGCATTATACATAAAATAAATAAATATTAATTATATATACTTATATGCATTTACTATAAAGAGAAAATAATGACATTAGGGAACACTTTCATTTCCATGTAGATATTCTATTACCAGAAGCAGAGTGTTCAGTGTCCATGACAATGGTACAATCATAAACACCAACCATCTTGACCGGGAAATCAGTGCTTGGTACAACCTAAGTGTCACAGCCACAGAAAGAGGTAAGCACTCTCTTGGGAACCACACACGGTTCATTATATTTTTGAGCCAATACATAAATTTTAGGGGTGAGTACAATGTTATTCTCAAATGTTGCTGAAATTAGAGTTAAACAATACGTTATATGAAATGTCATTTACATGCCTAGTTTATTAGATCATGAATTAGTATCTGCTCTTATCAGAAATTACTAACAACTTACCTTTAAATACCCAATTAACTGTCCTTGCTATAACATAATGTTTAATGAAAAGAATAAATAGAAGAAAATACAAGATGGAAAACAACAAAATCACCTGCAATTGAAAAACAGCCATTATGTCATTATGTGTCCTTAAAATCTGTCTCATGATATATTTTCTTATTGACAAATTAAATATAAATTTAGAAATTTTAAAATACATATTCTCTATGCATTCATTTTGTTTTGTTTTGGGGGATTTTTAAATTTGTTTTACTTATGAACTTACTGTACAAGAAGGTCTTATACACTTTCCATAAAATTATTTATCATAAATAACACAAATGGAGAGGAGCTATGATTCTTATTTCTCTTGTTTCTTAAATTTCAATTTAGAGAAGTGCTAATTTGTTTTACATATGCTTTATTACTGTAAAAAATGGTAATGCACTGACAGGACAGTTGAAATTTTAAATTTAAAGTAAATAAAATTTCTTTTGTTTAATCATAATCAGTTTAGAATATCAGTTATAGAAGCCAATCACAGAATGTCTGTGCTTTATTCTGTTTTACAATAAAATACGAGTTAATTTTATACATCAAGAAAAAAAGTAATACCCCAAATTGATCACTTAAAATGTGGGATTTAAAACAAATGATATTTTGGTATAATTGTAGCATAGAACATGAAGGATTTGGTTAACATACACTGGTTGTATAACACAAAACCAAAAATTCACTTTCAAATTAAACTAATAGTTTTAGCTGTGCTATAGCTCTGTCTTAATCAGTAGTGACAGGATGTTTGTTTGTTTCAGTGATAGAATGATGATTTCTTCTTGGCATTGTAAAGGTAGATAAAATCAGATGACTTGAAACTTGTACATTATCCTGGAAATTACAAATCAGTTAGTCTATCACTCATATTAACTAAAGCTTAAAGAAATAGTCATTACACAATATAAAATATTGTTAATGTCATCTCATTATTTAATGAACAGAATTCATAAAGGATTAAATATAAACTCTTCTGAACTGTATACTTTCTTATAGCTGAGTTTGCACAAAATTTCTATAATTTTCCTGGCTTTCTTGGCTTTTTGAGACATTGCACAGGTATCTGTCTTATTCCTCACCGTATTGAATAGTTAGGAGGCGACATAATAGCAGGTGAAATGTTTTTGCAACACATTGAAAATCTTTGTTGAAACACAGCAGGTGAAATGGGTCTAGATTTTAAATTTTTTAACTGTACAATAAAGGAAGGCGACCAATATGGCCTATGGGACAATGCCTGCTGCAACAGAAAAAAATACCAAGTCTTTAATGTCAGAAAACACAAAGATATTTATTCTAAGAGCAAGAACCCTTTATTCATTGTGTATTTCTAAGAACAAATCATTTATAATGTCACTTTTTAACAAAGCTGTTCTGAAAAAGAATTCAAGTCAGTTCAAGGGAAGACTGGGTATCTTTGAAATAAATATATATGTACATATTTCTCTACCAAATAGCTTTCAGCTCTTAGAACATTATATTTCATTGAATTACTTGAACTAACACTTCATTTTAAGTTTAAAGTTTCGGAGATGTTTTTGTAAAAAAGACATCATTTACTTTCTTAATTTAGATGCAGAATAAAGTCAACTGTTAGAAATGAAAACCTTAAAATTTATAGATTATACTCTGAGATCTAAAAGTCCCCTAATCTTTTATGAATGTAAAAAAGAAGATGAATGAAAGGTACACAATTTGTCAGATAATTTATTTGTATCAGTAATGGGATAATTCTTTAATCAGATGAATGGCATTCTATGAGAAGATCTCCACAAGAGAATTATTGAAATATGTTTTGTTGTAATTTACTGAGTTGAGCAGAGAAAGTAGATTTCAGCACTGCCAAATAAAATAAGAAAAAAAAATTCTTTGATTTACAAGATATCTTCTACTCATAACTCTAAAGTTACATTTTCAATTCTTTTTTGTTTTTATTTTAAGGAAAAGCCAGGAAGTGACTAACTTTTTGATTTTTTTCTTTTGATTTTCTTTACAATATATATCGTTAAACCCAATTTTAGATCTCTTTAGGAGAGTATGTGTATGAATGCCACTGTATTGCCACCATGCTATCAATACCAGAAATTATACCTTTGAACATTTTATCCTTAAAAGTACTTAAAGCAAACCACTTAACCAGAGGAGAAGAAGACATTATATAAAATCATTTCAGAAAACATTTGTTGCATGTGATCAATACTGTGAAATTTTGCAACAAAAAACTTAACGCTGATTCCTGGCAAGACACGATCCATTTTCACATTTTATTTTTCAGCAAATGACGTTCAGTGTGCTTAGTCTTTTTCCTGGAAAGCTTCCGAAATTAAACCCAAGACATTTATCAGTATGCTGCTCACTCAATAAAATAATTCCTTAAGATAAAACTGTTAGTATATGTGCCCAGCAAGATCTCAGTTCAGGAACGCTTCTGTTTGCAACAATTCAGTAAGGATTGGGTAAAATTTTAGCAAACTCTGCACAGGGTGAGGAGCCATCTCACCACAACCACAGCCATCTTCCCCAAACACAAAAGCAGCTATCTTCACCAAAATCATAAAGCAAATTAAGTTGATAAGCCAAGGTACCACTGTATGTATTCTCTATAATCATAAAAGCTTTTAATTTGAACTTTATTTTCAAAGCTTTTTCAGCATCAAGATAAATGATTTAATGACCCTCTCATTATTTTTTTGTTTATTCATTCCTGAAATGAATTTTATAATTACTTATTGAAGTAAAAATTGTTTTGTGATATTATGTACTTAAACCATAACAAATTTGAGCTTTTATTTATGAATAATGGTATCTTGAATTCTTGTTTTATAAATGTAACACCATAGAGAAGTGTATCAAAATGACAGTCCGTAACTGTTCTTCTGTTTCAAGAAAGCCTTTATTATTTTTTATGTTTTTGGTTTTCTCCAGTACGGGGAATTGAACTCACGAACTTGCGCTTGCCAGGCAGGTGCTGTGCTGCTGAGCTAAATCTCCAGCCCCTGTTCTTCTGTTTCATAAGGGCCACAGAGTTTATGTATAAAATATGTATATAATCTTAATTTTTAATTAACTGAAAAAGCAATTTTCAGTATACGAATAACTGTCTTTTATTGTGTTGGTATATGTACAAGAATATGATCACATCTCAGAAAAATTGTCTATCTAGTGACATAGAAAGTAAAACTTTTCATTATTGAACGCATTAATCACCAATGTCATGTGCGTCATAGAAAATCCATAACAAATGGCAAAGACAGAAAAAAATTTCACCTTCATAAAGACAGATAAAACTTCACCTAATTGTGTTCAAGATTAACAATATCTAGATCTCAAGTAAAAAGATTTGGTATCTTGTTAATTAATTTATCAAAAGGAAAACTGAAGTCTTTGTATATTCTTGATAAGAGATGATTGAACTGAAACAAGACTTTCAGCCCCCTCAATCCTTGACAGAAACTTGGATACAGGGGCTTTATATTCTTGGGTGATTATATTTCACAAGATAGACCTCAGTGCTTGAGGAAAGTCAGCATCATGTTGTAAACTTAGAAAGAGGCATATTTAAATTTTAAAGATTTGCACACACTTAGAAAGAAACAGAAGAAAATGAGTTTATTAAATGAATGCTTTAAGAAAAATGATGTGAGGCAGTGCCTTTCCAATAATAAAATTATGCTTATTATGGGGCTGGGGATTTAGCTCAGCGGCAAAGCGCCTGCCTGGCAAGCGCAAGGTCGTGAGTTCGGTTCCCGGTACCGGAGAAAAACCAAAAAAAAAAAAAAAAAATTATGCTTAGTTTATAAGAAGAAACATTAACATAAATTAAACAAAGTGCCGAAGTCTGTCTGACAGTGTCTAAAGATGGTCTTGATGGTTTGAGGGGCTTGTGCATTCAATTACATTTACTGATTAGCACTCAGGGATCCTATTTTGTACCCTACAATATGCAGGTTAGCTCCCTACACAAAGAATTGTGCATCCCAAAATGTGAGTGGTGATAAAATTGAGAAATACTCTTGAGATCGTTTGAACTTTTTGTTTTGTGATTCTCTGGATAGTATTTCTCTGAAATCTCTTCATCTCAATTTTGATGATTAAAAATTAGAACTATTAATATTTTATCTTACAGTGAAGACACTTTTCCTTGGGGCTGGTTCATATTTAATATATCATTTTTGCAATTAAAAAGGATGCTTACTTATAATTTCCTTCCTTTATGCTTTCTGAATTTCTTGACTCAATGTTAGATAAATTCTCACCTGCAGTTTATTATAGTCACTTTATTTGAAAGCAGATTACTAAGGCACACATGGTGGTGCATGCCTGTAATCCCTGCACTCAGAAGTCTGAGGGAGGGGCACACCTTGATCAAGTTAGAGAACACCCCGGTCATCATAGTGAATTCAAGTCTAGTCTGGAGTGTACTCAAAACCTGTTTCACAAAAGCATCATTCTATTCCACATTCATTTTCATTTTTAAGAGCTATGCTCTAAAAGTTCTAGTGGCTGGGAGCACTGATTACTAACTTCTTAAACAGCTATTTATGCTTCAGCCATGACCTTGGGCATAATATTTAATATAAATGATTTCTGAGTGCTCTTCTCAGTAAAGTTATTAGGACAGTGATGCTTCTACTGATGAAAATTAAACTGAACTAACAGAAATACTTTTAGTAGTTCCTAGAGTTACCCAAGTAGTTTTTGTACCTATCTGTTACCTATTTTTTCTCATCATTTTCAGCTCATACAGGTACAAGAAGCTGTAACATTGCTGAGTCAAACATACTGAACATGAGATTTTTCCATGTTACACTGTTGATAAACACGTGAAACGTAAAGATTCTCTCTTCAGCTTATCTCAAGTCGAATAAAAATATGCTACATAGCACTGAATGCAATTTTTGGTGATTTTTCAGCCAGATTTAATTTCTCATTCAATTTTCAGACAATGTACAACAGATCTCTTCAGTCCCTGTGTATGTACAAGTGCTTAATGTTAACGATCATGCTCCTGAGTTCTCTCAATACTATGAGACTTATGTCTGTGAAAGTGCAGAGTATGGTCAGGTAAGCAATAATAAATTATTAAAGTTTAAGCAATATGTAATTCTTTCACATATTACATGATATAGACTTATATAGCATAGTACATAATATCCATGTATATTTTGTCCTATTTAAATATCTATTTTAATTAACATGATAGTTGTGAATTAATATATGATACACAATATATTATCTCATTTTGGAATACTAACAAACTTACTTTAATTACATGCTTTATGTTGTGAATTCCATATGATAATATACATTTATTTTTATTTAAATGAGATGTAAAATATAGAACTAAAATTGGTTTGTCTTTCTGAAGCTAATTTTTGAGTTCCAGTACATAACCTAATTCCTACTACTGTCTGAGCATGATAGAATCCTATTAAATACCATATGCTACTTTCTAAAATGACCCCTAATATCCAAATTTTGGTAATATAACTGATTTATAATGTATTTTAAGTATACTTGAATGTATCAATGAAGCTAGCTGTAGTTCATTTGGAATTTACAAAGTCAGAAATTACTTCTCTCAACAAATAAATAGTAGAAGCCAACGTTTTGCAGTATTTTCATTTTCTAAAAAGGTAAGAAAATAAGACTATAATAAATATGGGCAATATCTTCATTGATTATACAACTATAGTATATTTGAAATTGTCAATGATTCCTATATGTTCTTGTGAATGTTATTCTGGTTAAAATTGGATGCATTATACTCTTTAAGTAATTCTCAAATCCTTCCTCTAAAATTTTTACAAATTATTCTGAAAGTAAGAATGGTTCTAAATATGAAAATTACTTTAAAAATTAAACTATTCCATTTCAATTGGCTAGGAGCCATACTTTTTGAGAAAGTAAAAGACATATATAAATTTTAAAGAGACTCCTTCCTCTCATCTTTAAATGCAAAACTCAACTAATTTAAATGTGCATGAACATATGATATAAGAAAGTAAAGATCACAAATAAATAAAATTTATTTATAATAAATTGTAAAGCATGACTCCTAAAGAGACTCAGCTTATATATTTTTGAGCTAGGGTATAAAATTAAAACCTTACACAGTTTATATATCTGAGTTTTCAAACACTGCAAACACATCGGATTTCTTGAGCACATAGATAAATATATTTAGTAACTATTAAAAATTGATCCATGTAAATCTGATAAATGATACTTAAAGTAAAATAGTGTTCTTATAATCTCAATAAATTTGAAATTACTAATTTTCTAATAAATATATATTATAGTTATGTATTAAACATAAATTATATTTTTACAATGTGATTATAATTACAATACCTTGCTATATACAAACATTCTTTGTTTAATGACATAGTTCTGTACCAATATCTAGGTCAGCAAATGAGGAACTGTATATAGTATATACATTACAATATTTGGAACAAAGACGTGGTCAAAGGAAACTTCAAACTGATGACTTTGCTTTTATTTGCCTAACTCTTACATGCAGTATTAAGGTGTATAACAGAGCATAAAATTACAGTAATGTACTATATAGTACAATCAGCAAAAATTACAGTACTATATACACAAGGTAAGCTGTACTGTACAAAAAAAGATGTTAATGATCTATAAACAGGACGCATGAACTGTAGCAAAAAAGAAAAAAAGACAAGTCATTAGTCTGAGTGGCGAATCCTAAATCTGAAAAAAGCACCTCTGTACTAAGTTCAAACAGTCCTTAAACAGGTAGGTCATTAAACAAAGAATGTGTGTTTTCGGAAAATTTAATTAAAACTTTTAAGTTAAACTCAACTTACTTTTAATGGTATATAAAAATAGTTTTTTAAAATTATACCTACAAAGGGTACCATTATGTTTCAAAGCTTTTATACATAGTGTAATGATTAAATTAGGTTAAAAATATCTTTTGAAACAAGCATTTACCATTTTTTATGGTAAAAACATTCATGATAATTTCTGCTGGCTTTCTGAAACATACAAAACATTATAAATTCAAAGTATAAAATAGTATGGTAAGTTAATGTGCATTTAACACAGCTAAAATATATTTTGTGTATCACATTTATAACATAATCTATTCCTAAAGTTTAAAAAATTTCTTAGTTCACTTCATCTTATATACCCTTTTTTCTACAAATGCCCCTGTGGTAAGTACATTTACAAACAAAGCTGTATATATACTGGTATGAGCTGTGCTGAAGTCACTGAACAGATTTATGAAAACAATAATGTATATAAGATGAGCATCTAGTTCTAGACCAGCGCACTAGATTTGGGCTATGACTATTTCCAGGAGGCCTATATATAGACCCCAAGGCCACACCTCCAAGACCTACCCAGGCACACCCAGAAGTGTACTTTACTAATAACCTGGGTGGCTTCCAAGTCAATGTAGTTGACATTTCAGCTTAATGCTTACAGTGAATCAATTCCTTCGTACATTTTATTCCATAATTCTGCTTCATAAACCACAGCTCAGAAGTCAGTATATTTGTAATGCAGACTACTGATCACTTTCTCTGAAAATGACTACACATTTTCTACTTCTTGTTTGGTGAGAGTAGACTGCAATTCTAGACTTTTAACCTCCAGCAAAATGCATTAATGGTAGACCACAGACCAGATGAAATTTCGTATAGCACTTTTATGATTTCAGTGCTCAACAATATCAATTGGTTTTGTAATACCAGGAAAGAAAAATGAAGAAATAAAACATATAATCTGGAGTTAACCAAAATATTTAATTGCCTGCAATTTTATCTATTTTGTTATTTTAATATATTTCTTCTCTTAGCAAACTGGATCTAACTTGCAGACCACTATGTACCAATCAAGAGTTCAAGGGAGAAGTCCCTGCTGGAAATAATGAATTTGACTTTATGGGTCTGATACGTGATATTTGAAAATCTGTGCTGTACTGAGAGCCCTGAAAGAGTGAGTGTGGATAGGGAAGGAAAAAAGTCTAAAAGATGAGGCCTGATTGAGGGTACTAGAAAACCCCAGCGGAAAAATATAAGCATCAATCCAGGGGAATGTGGTAACCTAGAAACCAAATAAACAAAATGTTCCAAGGAAAAAGGATCTGTTCCTTCTTGTAGTCGTTTCTTTTTATATGAGATAAGAACAGAAAAGTTCCTATGATATTCAATTTTGGAGATATTAAAATATTCATCGCTAACAAAGGTTGTCATCCAGGAAGAAAATACAGACTAAAAATATGAAAGGACATAGGACAGAATCTCTAGGGAAAATGATATTTATGGATCACATAAAGGAACAGCTGACTGCAAACGAGATAGCATGCTTAACCAATGTTGTGGGAAAGAAACAAGAAAATATTTGAAACATATTCAGGTCATTTTCTGAAGGAAGCATGAATGGTCTTAACTCATACTATTCTAAGAGGGAAATTCTCTGTTTCCTACATCGTCAGGTTTATTGCTTGTAAAATTTGCTGTTTCGCAAAACATTTTGGAGGCATATGAATGAAGTAATGACAGAAAAATGACTTACTAGAATTTAAACAAATGCCACTGGACATGTGTGGGAAATGTCAAGGAAGGTGTTGCTCAGGATTAACAGCAGCAAGAGGCAAACATATTGCAAAAGGCGACAAAGATAAAACCCAGCTTTTGTTAAAATAAAAGTCTGAAGAACGTTTACTTGTTCTCTCTTTGTGTGTCATGGTCTTCCTATGTGGCTGGTCTCATAATTCCTGGGCTCAAGCAGTTCTCCTACCTCAGCATTTCTCCTACCTTCTGGACAGATTTAGTTGTTAGAGCAAGCTTGTGAAAAAATACTGAAGGACACATTAGTGAGGAGTTTGGTTGGGCCATTTGATTAGTCCATTCTGTGTTTTTAAATGGCTTTTTACATGGAAGTTAGGTTCTTCCTATCCCAGTGAGGCCTGGAGAGATGGCCATTATCTTTCCTGATGGATACATTTCAAAGGGAGGAATGTTTCCTAGATCTTTGAGAAAGACAGTTAAAGGTGGTAAAATGGGAGAGACTCTGCTCAGAATAAAATTAGTCTACATTACAGAAAATCAGAAATAGAACATGCAATAATAAATTGTCTAAAGAAATTTGCTAAGAAATGGGAGTTCAACAGAATCTAGTCTAAAAGAATTGTGTTTACACTTGAGAAGTAGAGTGAATGTTAAGGTGTTCCTAGTCAAAGGCTAATGAAATTTAAACATCAGTAAAATACACTTGTTAATATGTAGTACTTCAAGAGAATTTTAAATCTACAGCTCATACTTTGTTGTAAAGAGAATGACTGTCCTTCATCCATGATGACAAAAATATGGCGTTTAGATTATGCTTCAACTAGAATAATCAATCCCATCAATTTTTTTCTAGATCTTCTCTTTCTTTCTAGTGACAGCTGGATGCACACTACCTTCTGCAATGTTTAATTTACAAGATGAATCAATAAATTTTTCTATAAACATCTTATAAAAGATGAATTTTCATAGTGTATGCCTGTAATCCCAGCACTGAGAGGCTGAGGCAGGAAAATTGCAACTTCAAATTCAGGGTAGATAACTTAATGAGACCCAGTGTCAAAATTAAAATTGAAAATACAAAACAAAGCTGAAGATGTAGATCAATGTTAAGGGCCTGGGTTCAATAATTAGCATCCCTTTTGAAAATATAAAAAACATGACCTGTTATATTTATATTTAACAAAAGAATGGCCAAGATTCCTTTTATAAAACACTAAGTGATGAACTGCTGAAAGACTTACAGAAGGATTATCATATTTTCTCATTATACAGAGTTATGTTGTTGACTTACTGATTTTTGATTTGAGATAATTCACTTTTTATACTTCACCTGAAATCTCATAGCCTGAATTTTTGTTTACATGGTGAATTTCACTGTCATCCAGAGAAGACTACAGTGTTGGTTTCTGCATTTGATATTCACCTTCTGATTCATCTAAAACTTATAAAAGTTTCCTGTAGTTTTATGGTTGTAAAATAAAAATTCTCAATTTTCAACTGTGTACAGTGAAAGCT